TCGAATGAAATCTCGAATGAATTCTCGAATGAAACAAAATGAATCACTAAAATAAATTTTCGAATATTTTCCGCTCTGCAATTGAGAGGATTTTGTCAATCCAACATTTTTGATCCAAAGTCTGATTAAACAAGATGATTTCGCAACGCAATGCAGATTTGGATGCGGTGATAATGACATTAAATTGGATGATATTAATTCATGTGAGGAATCGATCATGAATGAATGGTCATATTAATGGCACAACAATGACCAGTTTCAAGCAGTAATACTCACAATCAGCTGACATCTTTCAGGAAGGAGAAGAAACGGATAGTTCGTCAACGTCAGCGAATAAGAGCACTGAAAAAGTTCTGGTGAATGAACTGTCGAATCAACTTCAAATCGCAAGCTTCAATAATAACAATAGCAATAAGTGTGATGCAGAAACGGCCACAATTGGTATCGCACTGTCATCGGATGAACGAGGTGCTTGCTGAAATCATTTCTGATTGCTCGGATGATAACGAGCCACTGCCATCGGATTTGGACTGATTTTAGTTATATCCAGAATAGTAAAAACCACAACCACGGCGTAATCGGAATTATAATTATTTCCATAAAACTGGCATTGAATTAGCCAGTAATAAGATGATTATAGTACACCTACTTTTGAGAAAATCGGGAATTCTGAATCCTGGGCGATAACCACGAATAATTTCATTGACATCATCGATTGATTTATTGATTGATTGATCCTGAAGTTGCGCAATGCTTCAGATTCAACAAAACCTGTTTGCAAAGTGTATGCGTTTCGTTTTGCGGAGATGGGTCTTCGACGGGCTTTGTGGTACTTGGCGCGGGCCGTAGCCGCCAGACAAATTTTGTTTTCGGTGATTTTCTGACGCCTTTTTGCTCAGCGTCACTTTTTCATTTCAGTTTCTCAGTCTTGGTTCAATGATCTCTTGATTAAATACGTAACTGTTCACTTAACGATATACAATTCATCATATGCCCAGTTGCATTCATTTGCTGAAGAGATGCTTTGTTCTGTGATCAGTAACAAATTTGTTGCAATCATTCGAATTCTTGTAATCATTCAAAATTCTTAAGTCATCATCATTCATTCAATTCATGTAATCACTCAAAATTTTGCAAGATCTGCAATTTTTGCACTAAATGGAAAGTTGCAAATTTTCTCAAAAACTATCAATCATCTCATACGAAAAGAATAAAAAAGTTCTTTTTTTTTCAGTTACTTCCAATTACTTTGGTGCTGTTTTCGTTGATCGGGCCATTGGTTCACTACGATAATTTACGCTTTTCACCTCCATTCGAATCATTTTTCGAACCATCCATGAACCGTTTGCCATCGTCTTCTGTCAATAATCCACGTCTAAAGCAACTGTCGTCAAGTCGTTTCAACGTCACCAATCCCTCGTATGCAACACTCCATCGAAATTCACCGTCGCAATTCGGCATTTTGATTAAAACACGGTGATTTTCTACACATTTTGAATCATTCATCATGGTTGATTGTTGGAATTTTTGATCATATCTCTGATCATCCTCAATACAATTCATCATTATATTCGAACTTTGTTCATTCCTGTTTTCGAAAGGATGATATCGAATCGATGCTCACTCCCACGACAAATAACGGCAATCACCGAAAGCAGTGCAATCACAGCCACCAGTCCTTCAATGAATTTACCATTTTTGTTTGTTGATTGGATAATCCTTTTCGAGTTGTTTCATCAAGTCTGATGTATGCTCAAATTCTCGAGATTACCTTCAGAATAAAATTATTCAGAGATCATTCCGGTCAATGAATATTTTTTGCTCGAAAACTTAACAATAATCAGCAGTTTAACTTTGCCGTTGATGTTTTGTTCAATTCATAATTTTCCAGAGATCGTACTCAATCAGTTTTGAACGAAAAAACACTCAATGTTTATCATAAAGTTCGAGAGATCATTCAAAATATTCGAGTAATATACGAACGGAACAATGTAACGGTAGGCTACAGATATTCTGTTTGTTGAATGATTGAAAGATTGATGCTTCTGAGCCACTGGCATCCTTCACATAGTCCGATTTGGGATATTCACAGATTAGTGGTTCAAAAAAGATTGCAGTGTATGGTTGATCGACGCAAATTGATCAGCAGCTTTCATAAACTGATGAAAGCTTTATCTGTGCCATTTACTTGAAATCAGTGATTCATATTAGTATTGTCATACTGTACAATTGTTGCAATTTCAGTGGTCTGAACTATGTCGAGAATCATGCAGAGATGACGATGATGTGATAAGGCAAATCACTGATAACGTATCAAAAATATCTTCGCTCACATTCCCCGAGGCCATTCTATCACCGAAAGATACTACCACTAAAAATAATAATAACAATAACAATAACAACAATGAGAACAAGAATCTAACCAGATTATTCCTGGGTCTTTCTATTGGAGGTTAATCGCTCAACCATAATATTGTTGGG